TTATAAATTTATTGTTTTATATATAATAAATTCGAAATTACATAGCATCGCTTTTTTTAAAAAAAAATTCTTTGCTGACAATTAAAATTAATTTTCATTTTCAGCAAAATTTTATCTCAGACTTCGATGTTTTAAAAAAGGTTTTAAAACAATAAAAAATGTTTAAAAAACTGTTTAAAACATTTTTTACCATCCTTAGTCAAATGTAAATAAAACATACCATCATTAACTATTGACCATTGACAAAATCATTATAATTACTTGATATACATTACTATTCTATTTAAAAAAAAACTTTCGACATTGGTATATACATAATTATAAGTTTCTTTTTTATCTAAGCTTTTGTTGCCTAAAAGTAAAATTTTGAAATTTATATATGACGTATCAATAAAAATTATATAAATTAATACTTTAGTTCATGTAACTTTTGCTAATAGTCATTTAAGCATTTTTACTTGTTTTTTGCATGATAATCGAAGTTTTGGCGCGGTAGTGACTTGGAGTTTTTTGAATCTTTTTGTAACTTTAGTGAGAAAACTATATTATAATAGTCGGAAATTGAATAAATTAACCAAGTGAGCTGCCATTGCGATAAACGGATCAGCGAGCTACAAACCATCTTTTTTCTTCAAAAATTTACTATTAATGAAGGTCGCTTAAGCATCTATATATTAAAAAAATTGATCAATCAACGTGTCTGTCATTTCACAAAACTAAGTTATGTACCAGGTTGCACTCCGGATGATCATGTGACAGTCTGGAATCTTCTATTTACTATTGTAAAAAAAATTGGAGTTGTTGCACAGGTTCGGACATTGCATGTATTATCGATTATTTACCGAATCCAACCAGATTTGTGATATATATGATATGTGGTTATATACAAAAGTCCTAGCATCACCACCTTACAATTTTCCGGAAAATTGATTATTATTATTGAAAATCTGTATTGTAACGAAATAACGCTCGGGACGTTATTTCGAGACGCAAATTCCAGAAAGCTAAGAAATTATTTTAAAGATTTTTTTAAAAAAATAAAATTATCGTTTGTATTCATCAAAATTAATTATTAGCTCTCTGGAAATTGTGCACTTCAAAATAACGCCCCGACGCGTAATTTCACATCAATATGGCAAAAGATAAACTTTCTTTAAAAGACAAAACCGCTACTATTAGTCCAGAATAACCAGTTAAATATATTCTAAAGATAAACTTAATTACTAAATAATTATCGCAGATTTAAAATGAATTGTAAAACTTCAATTATAAATTATATTGTATAGATAACATCGAATTATTAAATATACAAAATCTACACTTTCCGAACTTAACCAATTAGGGTAGCTGCGCGGCGCGTGACGCCGCGCAGGACCAGTACGATCATATACAACATGTAAATTCGGACTATTTGAAAGCTATTGATAAAGGGTCACTGGGGCGCTCGACTTCACTAGCCCTATCTACTCTTGCCAGTTTGTTCTGTGTTTAGTGTATCGTTATGATCCTATCACCTGCGATGCTGTGAACCATGAACAGGGGGAAACGTACCCGATCTAAACTGTGTGGGAAACATTGGTAGTTAAGCCAGGTGTGGGATTAAGTTTGGATCAGGTAGGTTCCCTTCTGTTTGTACCATGGTTCCCAACGATGAAGCACACGACTAAGTTCTTCGTTAAGTGATTTTTACCAAAACTATTTTGTTATGTAGTATCACTAAAGGATCGTTATGTCGTAACTTCAGGTACCCGAAGTTGGCACCTGCTTAAAACAGCTAACTAATGCGTGCAGAGTGACCTAATTTTAGGGGCTAATTTCAGTCAGGTGCAACTTCAGGCACCTGAAGTTCCAACTTTAGTCGGATGCCAACTTTATACATATTAATTGGGTATATAATTACCCAATTACATGCATTAGACCATTTTTATTCATAAATTCCTTTCATGAGGATTTTAGAAAACCACACCACAGTACGTATCATTATAGATTATGCAATACTTCAAGTTTGAGACACAGTCAAAATTCTTTGAAAATCATTTATGTTAGGGTTAAGACTCTTATTAATACTAAAGATTAGAGTGGTATATAGTAAAATTGCTCAAGGCAAATTTTTTATTAGTGTACGAAGAGTAGTTATATATGCAATTCTTTGAGAAAAAAGGTGATTTTTGATAAAACGTGCTATTCGTTTTGAATTTTCTCATTATACCTGATTTTGCACCCTTGAATGTGTGCTAGGTTTGTAGCGCAGATTTACTAAACTACGAATCAAATTTTCAAGATCTGTTGCAAAGTAACATGATTAAGAAAATTCAAAACAATGTTCGTTTTGCTTACTTCTCATAATTCTACATAAGAAACCACTTTTGATGCTCTAACAAAAAAGTTTTCATTGGCAATTTTGCTATGCAAACTACTCTTCTTTAGTCCATAACACTAATACTAACCCTAACACTAAAATAAATGAACTTTAAAGAATTTGTACTGTGCCATAAACCTGGTATTACTATTGAAATTTCTTTTAATTTCTGCGCCCCAACCGTGTAGAAGATTCCAGTACATACTTTTTCTTTTCTTTTTTTGTGTTTATTGATATTATCATTCATGTTAGCTCATCTGTATTACTTATTAGCCTTATCGCATATTATTATTATTGCTATTATTACTTTTCTTGTTATCACTATATTTGTATTATTTGTATTCTATATTTAGTTAGTCTATCCTATGATTATCAACATCTTATTATTTATAGTGAGATCGCTGTACCTAGTAAATATTTAAGTGTAGATCCGCACTATTCTATTTTTAGCCTGTAATAGATTAGTTAATGGTATTTTCTAATTGGTTTGACTAACGATTTTTCTAATAGCCAAACGATACATTGAACATGTTGCAGGGCAAGATGTTGTGATGAGTTTAATGTAAAACATTACGCGTGTTTGTTGAAGGTGTCAAGAAGCTAAATCTTGTTATGGGAATGCTTTCAATGAATTCATTAAGGCAAGACGTAGTTGTTATTTATCTCAGGCATTTAGCATCATTGAGGGATAAAGAAATCGGCATTGAAAAGGATAAATCCACAGAGGAAGAAAATACCAAGGTAAACTTGGGTAAATAGTCTGTACGATTTTTACATGTATTTAAAGACCCATTATTTGCTTGAATAAAGTTTTCTCAGACTTCGATCTCCTTGACATTTTTGAATAAACAGTTTCATATTGAATTTTTTCTTGTATTATTGAACTATCATGAATACATCTTCATGGTATTGTTAATATTATATATCCCAATATCTCTATCATGAATACATCTTCACGATCATCTATATTTATTTATTATATCATATAATTATTACAACAATAATTATTCACCTATTGTTGTCCCTATCTTGCTCTAATTTATCTTTCATTCACTATCACTAATCTAAACTTGGCTCTTACTGGCGCTCTTCTAAAATTACGATAGTAATACTGGCATATATACAAGTAATACCCAGATTTTAAAATTTGATTTATAGCTCAGGCAGTCTGTCTACAAACCTGGTATACATATTGAAGATATGACCAGAGAGGCTATCGAATTTATAGGTCATGTTGGCGGTGCTACCAATATTCAATATAGTGATAGCATGTTTAGTATTGTATTATTATTTATAGATTCTAATTATTTCTTATTGTTTTTTATGTAATAAGTAATAATATATAATTTTTAGGATTGTTATATGCTATATATTTTATCTGTTATTAAATATATATAATATATATATTATTTATATAAAGAATAGTGATAATTTTTTAATATAATTTATTTATATATTAGTATTAGATTATATAATTTTTATAGCTTGTATTTATCATTGCTAAAATATACAGCACAAAAAAATATTTCTATTTCAATTAATAATATATACTTAGTAATAATTGTGATATTTATTAAAATTTTTTATAATTATCACAATATTATAAAATTTATATTAAATTTTTAAATATTAAAATTTTCTAATTTAACTTTTTAAAGCAAATGCTATCAAATTGTTCAAGAAGAAACCAATTTCCCAAAGAACCTTAATACTAATAGTTTGTAGCTTAAGAAGATTGGATACTATATTCAATAGTAATTTATTATAAGTAATTTCATCATTATCATTAAATTTATTTATATTCTCAATTATTTTCATAATATCATCCTCTGGATCTTCTAATAACTAGATAGCTATGCGATGTAGTCATGCTGTAACTAGGAACAGAAATATTTTATCTTAAAGAGTTTAGTGTTTAATAATTATAAATATGTGTTTGGTACACAGAAGTGTATAATGATGAAAGTAGAATTAGGTGGTGGTGGAAATTGAATTTATAATATAATTAGTTAATAGTGATTTGTGATTAATAGTATAAAGTATATAATAATTGGTGTATAGCAGAGATAGTAGATGTTATTTATGGTTGTTATATAATTGATAATAAATTTTTTTATTATTTTACAATACTTTTTTGTGTCTTATTTTTTCTAAAAGTGTAAAAAAAACTTTTAATAAAATAGAAGTTCATACTTTGCTTTATAATATATTTCTTGAATCCCTATGAATCACAAAATTTTATTAGTCAAAGATTTGATTGGTTGATCAATTATGTATTTTTTAATTTGTATAAAAATTACTTTATACTTGAACGGTCTCTGTTGTATAGTTGGTTGTGTAGCTGATTTGCATGAATAATGTAATTGTAGTTAAAAGTTTATAGTTAAAAGTGATTAGTATAAATAAAAGTGAGATTTGGATCAATGTTCTTATTATCAAATGGAAGTTATAGATTTCTTACATAGAGTCTTTTGTTTTGCTTATTTTAATAAATAAATATTTTCAAATAAATATTTTGGATAGTGTAAGAATATGAGGTAAAATATATATATTTTTTAACAATTATAGTGAAATTCTATAATTGGTCTAGATATTTGAGGTAAGATTTTTTTCTAATTAATCTTATAACAATATCTAGTTTACAGTAAATATAATGATTTATAGAAATGAAATATTATGATTTATAGTAATAAAATTCTTTGATTAAGTGAAATACTTTACTATATATTAATAATTGTTGTTCTGATTTTCTGGTATTGTGATATGATTCAAATATATATAGATATTAGAGGTATACATGCTATTTAAAGAACCAAGTCATTGATCGTTTATATAATAAGTATGAAATATTTTTTTAAATTTTTATTTTGCTGCACTGTATAAATATAAATTAATATTTTCTGAGTAAATAATAATATTATATAGCATAAATTCAATATAACGAGCTTTGTTATAATGAATATTAATTTGGGTAATTATTTTTAGATTTACACCAAAGTTTTGTTATATCTTGTATATAAAATTGGTCTGGGTTTGAGAATAATTACTTTTATTTAACTAAAGTTCATTGTATACATATTTGATTGATTTACTAATAGCATATTTTGCTTTACAACTTTATATTTTTTTTAGTATTGTTCAATTTAATATGTTTGGTAATAAATATTTTCAAGAATTTTCAAGTTTATACATCTGGCCATTCTTCTAATTGAGCAGTTTTTTGAATACATTCATTTAATTGATCAAGTTTAGCATGAAGTGACAAAGATAGTTTCATATTTAAGACAGATTCATTAAAAGATTTAGGATTAACAAATCTTCTAATTTTTGAATACGAGAAAGCATAATATAAGTAGTATTATTTGTATGGCTATCTGCTAAATCAATAATAACTTTTTTGAAAGTTTGTCCTTGATATTTATAATCTGTAAATATGAATATTGGTATTATAGGAAGTTGAAAATGTTGGAATCTTCTTTGAATTTTTGGGCTATTATGTCTCCATATAGTATGTATGCAGGCACGTTTGATTGGGTAGATGGGTACATAGTTGGATGGAAGATTCTCATAGGGTCTGCAAGTTGCATTAGTCAATTTTACTACAATATATTTTAGAGGATTTTTTAATACAAAAATTTTTTCTTGAAGAGAAGATAAATGATGATCAATTGAGTCTTTATCATAAATAATTTGTTGGAGGATTTCTTGGGATCCATTTTCTAAATTATTGTTAGTGCATATATTGACTGTCAGATAACTTTCAGTGCAATAGATAAAGCTAAAATACCGCAAAGCATATTTTTATTTGTATCAAATGTAGAAAGGAACTTTAAATGGTTATTCCTGTTGAGAATAGTTTTATTGTAAGAGTTTGTTGTACAAGAGTATATAATGGGTTGATCAAAGCAATATGAATATTCTTTTTTTGCATCAAAGTTGAGTTGAACTCAAATATCATTCTTCATTACAAGAAAAGTAGCATCTTTCTATTCTGGTATAATAACTTGATTATCTCTAAGGATCCTTGATTGTATGTTAAATTGATTACTTTCAATAAGATTTTTATTGTGTATATTTTCAAAAATATTAGCAAATAACAGATTATTAATCTGATAGATTGGTTTTTTTAAAAAATTTACATGTTTGACATTTAGCCAGAGTGATCTTCCTATTATATTTATGACTATTTTAGAATTTATTGACGAAGGATCAGTTGTGCATATTTTTTTATATGTTTTGAGAACTTATCAAGAATAGTAAATAGTTGCAAATCAAATGAGAAGTTAATATGAGTAATTTTATTTGGTGTATAAAGCACTGAGTCTAGAACTGGTGGTAGTTGCATAAATTGCTAGCAAAGAGAATATTTATTCTAGTGAATGGAGTAAAATTATTTGTTTCTTTTATTTTTTTAGAAATGTGTAAAATTGAGCAAGAAGTGTTTGGCCGACCATAGAAATTTCATCTATAATAATATATTCTATTTTGAACCAGAATTCTTGTATTTGATGTAATGATTCATTTGATAAAATATTTATAGATTTATTATTTTTACCAAATCCAAATCTACAAGTTGAATGAATTGTATATCTGGTAATATTTGAAGTCACGATTCCTGTAGGTGCTAAAACAACTAGAGTATCTAGTTGTAAAGTATGTTTAAGGGTAGATAGTATGTAGATTATTTTTCATATGATTAATATGTGATTTTAAAAATTTACTATAAAATTGAAAGTTGTTACTAATAAAACTTTTCAAATTACAATAAATTTTTATTAAATTTTTATAAAATGTAGATAAAATTGCTTATCTAATATGGTAAAATTTTGAACTATTATATCTTATAAAAAAATATACTTTTATATATAACAAAATTTTTCTGGATGGATCTAAAATTTTTTGGGTTGCACAAAATTATCAATTTTGATTGGTCAATTTACATAAAGCTATAAGATAAATTTAATATTAAAATTTTATATCT